GCGCTGACTGCTAGGGATTACAATTTTGCCTGTCCCCTGGTCCTTGAGCACACGATCTTTTTTAGGTGACATTCAAGGCCATTGCTTGTGGGGAGCAAGTTTATCGTACTGCAAGCGATGGGATTCTTCTACAGGAGATAGCGGTCATGGTATCATAGTGACCAACTGCAGCAAAGAAGAGGAAGCATTTGAAAATAAACACAGAGTACATATCTGTGGGGAAGAAACAAGATAGTTTAATATGTAAAGCACAGTTTTTGTCCTAAATGATTTATTGCTTTTCCCTCTGAGACAAAGTTTTCTTATTTTCATTGCAAGTTACCACATTGCCTTTTTTACGGTCACTAAATGTCACATGTACAGAAATATGATAAAATGTGGACAATATTTTATTGTTATTTTAGTCATACTGTGAACTAAATCCGCAATGATATAATTTTGTTGAAACCAAAACCAAAATTCTCTGGTTATCAAGTGCAGAACTAGATATGACTACTGCAAACTATTATTTATTTACTTATTTATTACCTCTTAGCCTTGTGGTTATGGATTCTTGATAGTGATTGCAACATAGTTTGTGATAGTGTCCCACGATCTAATGATACTCACACTTAAAAGGCAGTCTGAACAGTCTGAAATGGTTTTGGTCTTCTTTCAAAGATCTTTCTTCTTTTTATCTCTATTATAATCAAAATACAGGGCCTGATTCAAAGTCCACAGAAAATTTCTTTAATCTTTCAGTGTGTTTCATGAGTTTATCATTCCTGTAGTTCTACAGAAAACTAAACTCTGTTACTTCTCACATGCATCTTGGGAAAAATGCAGGAATCCACAGGTGAAATTGTGTTATCTTCAATGTGTCAAATCAGATATAAACTGTCCTATTATGAATGAGACTTAAGAAAAACATGCTTATACATAACTCTTCTGATTTATATTTTTTCATTTTTTTTGAAAGTTTGGAAAACATTAGAAACTGTTTTTCATTTAATTCTTTATTCATTCTTATTCAGCTGTTTATCTGAAGAGTTTTTAGAAAGAAAATACTTTCTACTGTCTGTCCCCCAACAATGATCTTGAAAAGCCTTTTACTGATCTGTGTAGAATATTAAAAATCTTTTCAAGAAAGACTGGTATCAAACTTTATTATTTTTTTTGAACGTGTGGAAGGTAGCATTGGATAACACTGGAGCATCTCTTTTTCCTTGGCCCATGAAAAACAATTTGGGCTTAGAACCAACTGTCATTAGAAGGGTTGAAATGGAAATTAATGCCACCTCAATCCATCGTGCTGTGGTTTTGAGTAGTAGTAGGCAAATCCTCTTATGGCTAAAAAAGCACCTGGAGCTGGGGATTTCCATTTGTTACACCCAGCTGACTGTTACTGAGATAGATGCCTGTACCATGCAGGTAATTTTAAATGTCTACATGTATTAAATAGATTAAGAAGCACTCTCGGCTGCATATACACTCATCCACCTATCTATTTCATCTTTATTTCACTGCATACTTCAATTTTTTCAGTAAAATGCCTTACTGACAATTCTCCTTTAGGACTTGTTTGGATTGGCAATCTAGACTGACTACTTGTTTTTACTGCTTTTTAGCTACTTGATTTTACTTTCTTCTTCTGGAAGCGATAGTAAGAAAGCACCTATTTGAACAAGTGCTCCTTTTGGCTTGTTTGTCATGGTAATGTGCAAACTATTGATAGGAATATTTAGGACCTAAATTCCTTTCTCTTAAAGTCCTCATCTTGTCTTTTATTAGCAGGCTCACATCTATGTGTCTTTCCCTGCAGATGCAATGGACACTAACATAAATATGGGCAACATCTGTCAGCTATATGTAACCAGTTCAAAACTATTGCAAGTGTTTGTGTGTCTGCCCTGAGGATTCAAATAAACCATTTAAGAGTTTTCTGTCCCCTATTCATATTTAGTGATAGGACTTAGGCTTTCATCCTAGTATCTTGTTTATTCTTTGAGTACAAGGTTACATGTTATATGACCTGCATTGTTTAATTATTGATTTTCTCTAGAGTTTAAGAAAACTTACCATATCTGTTAATGCTGAGCATTAGGAACTTGATTGCTAACACTGATTAATCAAAGCTGTAGAAAGGACAAGAGATTTTAATAAGAAATAATTCAGTTGAATTCCTTTCTGTTTTCTTAAAGCTGGTTATTTTGTTCTTGAAAGGAAAAAAAAGAAAAAAAAAAGAAAAAAAAAAGAAAAAAAAGACAACAACAACAAAAAAAAGACAAACCAAAAATACTTAGTATTTCATGAAAGAGCCTCCTGAAAGTTTATTATTGGAATATCATACCATAGCTAAGGTTCTTTTATGTGGATCTCTGTGGCATGTGAGATCTTGAAAAAGCTAACAAAGTAAAAATAATGTCTGATAGAGATCTTTGTGTATGTAAGAATTTGTATATATCTTCTAGGTGAACTTGGAACAGATGTTGTTCATTAAATTTATTACCTACCATAAATGATTTAGCATGAGCTAATAATTTTAGGGCTCCCAGGTGTGCACTGCTACAAAAATAATACACTGGTCAGAACTTGTTAGTCATGGTACCCTCCTACATATTACAACCTATCCTGTCCCATCCAGATTTTTTTTTTTTTTTAAATATGTATGGTTCTGTGCAAAAGGATGTTACATGCTTTGTGCACGCAATCCTAACAGCTGTACATGAGGTCATAATCAATGCTTATGCCAGGCTAGCCTATATACCAGGTTATTTATACACATTCCTTCTTAAACTTATACATATTCCTTCTTAAGCTGTGTACACAGTACAAGCCATCTTTCTTGTCTGTGCACATCTTCCTATGTAGCTCTCTGGTTCTGTACATTTAGTGCAGTTCCCTTTTCCCTCTTTCATTTTTTGAGTTCTTGTGTATTTGTTGCATTCTCTATTCTGAAAAGAAAGCGTACAATTCTGTGCTGATGAGAGCTTCTACTTTTTATGAAAATATGATTCCTTGTTATAGTGACTAGTATTGCTCTTTGCTGAAATTTGTGGGTTTTGAATGTGACTGTATTACTTAGTTGTAGACATGCATCTCCACGTCATCTTGGACAAATAGCAAAAATCTTGCTTTTCTGTGTGAATAAAATTTGAAAGGTAGATCTGGGAAAACTCAAATAAATGGCTGCAGAAGCTGTACTTCCCTGTGGCAGCAGGCAGTGTGTGTAAATATTTCAAAAACACTGGAGAAAGGAACAGGGAGAAATTCTCTCATTACAAGCATTGCATAAAACAACTCCCTACAAGCACATGCTGGGGAGAGAGGAGGTGTTTAATTCTGTAGTCATCTAACAGAGTTTTCATAGCACAAAGTAAACACTAGGCTTCAATGACGCAATAGTGAGTAGCTGGGCATCAGACAGGTAGGTACAAGACAACCTTTTTTCTTTGCTCTGGGAGCCCTGAACTTAGTGCTGTACAAACTGAATCTTTTAGTGGAAATGAAGACTCAGTAATACTTCATAAGTTTAGCAGTAAACAAGGGGTGAGATATTAGAACATTAATTCTCCATAGAGCTGCAATGACCTTTTCAAGACCCAAGCTGCAGTCAATTTGTATGCACAAAATACTCAAGACAAGAATCGCAAGCCTTTCACAGTGCTGTGCTGTGCACCAGTTTAATATGATTTAATACATTCTTTTCCAGAATGATCACCTGATTACTCTGTCTCTGAGGGCTCAATAGTTCTAGAGGTTAAATAGTGTTCATAGATTTAGATTAGATTTACTTCTAAATTTTGCTCTGTCATTCACTTGGTATGCCAGAACACCTGAAAGTATTCTCTGAGAAGCATCCATCACTGATAAGGCTGTAAGACTCTAAGAGTCCTGTATGTTCTTCTCTACTGGTACAAGTAAATAGAGGTATATTGGTTATGCCAGTTTACAACAACAAAAAATAATTTCAGTTTGGACAAAACGGTTTTAAAGATAGAACCAGCAAGATTTGTTCATGGAATAAGAATTTAGTACAAAGTTTCCAGCTTCAAATCAGCCAGACAAGTGTTGTATCAATCAGAGCCTGATATATTTATATTTTTCTGAGTCTGGTGTATGTATGTGTTTAATGAGGATAGTGTCTATTGTCTAGAAAAGAAGGTTTGATGTAACATTTGTTCTGAGAAGGTGCATTTTTAAAGTGTCTGTGGACTTTGTGATCATAAATCTTAGAGGAATACATAAGGGCTTCCATAGCTAAAACATTGTCTACTTAGACCGTTGTTCTTCTTCTTTATCTCGTTTACTAGCTAGAGAAAAAAATTAGAGGTCTGCAGTCTGTGGGAGTGTGTGAATAATTTAAAGTGAGTAATAAGCAGAAAAAAATGGCTGGACTTTACTCGTAATACTGTCTGACTGGTGACTGATTTTTGAATCGGTTTACTTTTTATCTGTTAAATAATTTAGACTTCTTTGATAAGTAAGACTTCATTTACTGCACAAGGTTTGAAGTGGAAAGAATAATAATTTGAATTACTCTATCACGAGGATAAATGGAGCTACAGAGACATGTCTTCTATGTTCTATTTTGCTTTAGACTTCACTTTGCTTAGTTTCATCTAAGCTCAGTTTTTGGTGAAGGCTAGCTATCATCACAAACCTGTATAAGTAGTTGCTGTAGGTTGGAACCACAGTCTTTTGGTCTAAAAAACTGGTTTCATCTTGTCTCTGCTATGTGGCACAGGAGAAGTTGGCTCTGGCATGGGTTTGGGAATACCTCCAGTAATGAACAGCATTACATAAGCAATGTATTCAATACACATGACCTTCAACTAGAAATTAGAACACTGGGAGAGCATTTAATTTAGTGTTAATGGAAGAATATACTGAATTTACTATGTTTCTTTTTGAATGTTTTTTTTTTTTCTCCTATAGATTGGTTATACTTCATGTGTCTACTATAATGCACAACCATCACTGTTACTTAGGGATTATGAAAAGCTCTTTTTTTCTTGCAGATCATCCGGTGAATGAACTTTTGGATCTGTTCAGTCGCCACATGCTTCCTCATGCAATAGATGAACCCCACATTGATGCAGAATCAACTCAGACTGAACCCTGTACTTCAGACTCTGTGCAGGATTCATCTGAATATATAATATTGGATCCTTTCTTTCCAAACTTTATAGAATTTGAAGAGGAGGAAGACTGTGAAAATACTACTGATGTTACAACTCCTCCAGCTTTGCAGTTCATCAATGGAAAGCAACAGGTGACAAGTGCACCTAAAAGCACAAAAGCTGAGGAAGCGAGAAGTGACCAAATTGAAAGCGTTGCACATTCCAAAAATGTAAACTTTTCACAAATCAATGAAACAAACACCTTCATAATACCTGAAACTGAAGCTTCTGGTACAATGCAACCAAGCAAAGCTGGGGAAGTAATAGGGGCATTCGAAGTTACACAACCGACAGCAGATGTTGCAATGTTAGAACCAGTGTATAGTGGTGAGTCTGAAACTGCCACAACAGACAAATCAGTAGAGATTACTTCTGTATATGAGCAGTCACCACAAAAAAATAAGGAGAGTGTAACATGGCATGGAACTGAGGAGAGCTCTACTAAAACTGCAAAAAACTTGCTTTTGATTACTAGTGAATCTTCTGGCGATGGCTCCACTGAATCTGATTTGTCTAGTTCTGCATTCACAGAAATTGTGGCAATGTCAAGACAGAAAGATGATGAGAATGTTTCTGGTACAACTTCTGCTCCCAATGCATTTACCATGGAAAGTTCTGCTGTAACTGCTGGTCTTGATGTTGGTTTTGATACTGCTACTGTCAGCACAGATTTGAGAGGCTTTATTCCAGAAGAGGAGACTTCTGCTCCAGGAAGTTATTATAAATCAACTATTAAACTTGATGCAAATTACCCTTTTGAAAGCCTTCTGGAAGAAACAAGTCAGACAGCAAAGCCTGAGTTAAGCGCATCTTCGTTTATGGTTCTAGAAGGTTCTGGGGATGTAGAAGAGGACGCTGCTATAACTTCAGCCATGACAACAGAAATGGCAATAACAGAAACACTTCCAATGCAAGACATTTCCTTAGGTTCTGGCACCGTAGTGCCCACAGAAATTTCTGTAACCATTTCAGGACTCACCTCTGCTTTGCCTGGAGGAACAAGCAATCTTTATTCTACTTTTGATCAAAGTTCTGAAGCAACTGTTCCCACCAATTCTCTGTCTAAGCTTATTACAGAGCAAGTAGTTGGCAACTCGGTACCAACTGAAAATAAAATTGAGGTAGAAAAAGAAATACAGACTACAGTTTATTCAAGTCAGGAAAATTCAGCCACTATTGCAGAGGGAAAATCAGAATTTAATGAACTTGGAAGCACTACTGATGAAGTCAGAACTGCAAGTCAGGAACCCATCCCACTCAGAGAAACAGTACCAGTAACAGGTACCATGCATTCTGAAATCAAAAAGGTTACCAGCGTTCCTTTCTTGAGAGAGAAGAAGCTTTTTATCAATGAAGGATCAGCTGAAGAACCAGCAGACTTTTTATCAGGGAGTCCCACAAGAGAAGTGGTAAGTACTGGCTCCCCATTTACTGATGCAGGTTCTGGAGACATAGATATTATCATTGAGTCTGCTACTTTGAGTTCAGTTCCATCAAGGTCTGTCACTGAAATGCAAACAGAAAAGCATGAAGGAAAAATTTACATCACAGATGTTTCATTGGAGAATGAGACAGCAGAATATGAAGAACACGTGGGAACAGGTGAATCAGCAAGATCAGTTTCAAGTACTGGGTCAGATGGCTTGACAAAGGAGTCTGGAGTAGAAAGTCAGATGCCTCAGACTGTGTTTAGTACAGGAAATCCAGGAGAACTAACAGAGGAAGTAGAACCAAGAGCTCCTTCTGAAATAAAATCTAGTCATGGTTCTGGAGAAGATAAAACACCTCATGCTGCACCAGGAGTTAAAGCAAAGGATTTAGAAACAGCTGAAGTCACATCATCACCAGAATCAGTGGTTAATAACAGCCCTCTTGACATCATGGTGACACACAGTACTGGAAATATAAAAGCAATAGCTGAATCTACAGAAAGCAGAAATGGAAAAGATAGTTCTTCAACTGGCTCTTTGGGCAAAATTCTCCTGATTGAGCCTGGCTCTGGAGAAGAATTCAGAGGTGACAGCAGCACTACAAAACTAATGTCTAATGGACCTAATGAAAAAGTAATTGAAGATCACATCCCATTTATTGATCAGGGTTCTGGAGAAGCAGAAACTTTCACTGAATCATTTACAAAAACAGCAGTTTCACCCACAAGGAAACAAGAATCACGAGAGGAATATGGCAGAAGTGTTGTCAGCACGTCATCTGTGGATCATGCATTCACTACTGAACCTGATGAGCCAGTCACGAGTGCTGAACATGAAGTAACTACAATGGGAACTGTAACTGACATAAAAATGGAAGAGAAAACAGTTGATGAACTGACAGTGAGAGCTTTTACTACAAAGTTTCCTTTGTCAGAAGATACTCGTTCAAAGGAAGATAAGCTATGGGAAGTTTCCCCCAAAGTGATAGAATCTTCTGCAGAAACGACTGAAGATCCATTCTTCAGAAGTACACAGGTTAACCATGAACATCTGGAGTTTTTAAATGTTCCCACTGTCAGACCATACTCAGAAGAAAAGAAACTAGAAACTGAGTCTGGTGAAAAAATATTTTTCCTATTTAATAATGATAGTGTAACTGAGTCTGTAACAATTGAAAGGAAATACGTAAGCTCTCCAATTACAGTTACAGAGGAAAAAGAGGAGTTGGTACAAAGTATTTTTCCTACAGAAGATACTGCCATATCACTCCTGACAACTAAAGAACAAAAACTACCAAATAATGATCTCATTGGTGATGTGTTATTTTCGGGACAAGGATCAGGAGATGAGTTTACTGTTATTCCTTCTGTAGTGCCATTGGCTGTCAAAGAAATCACAAGTACTGCAAGTCCTCTGCCTTTTCATCCTGCTAATGTAGGACCCAACCTTTCAACTGACAAAACACAAGACTTTGAAAGAGGAAGCGCTGAAAGGTATGCTGAAGTTAATGAAGGAATTACAAGTTCTGCAGAAGAGCTGCTGTCAGGAACTGCAGACTCGATGATCACCAGTTCCCCAGCTTTAGCTGAAGACAGTTTCAAGAACTTCAGCTCTGAAGGCAAGGAGATGACACATTATTTTGTTGTTATTGAAGAACCTCACAATAAGGAAATGAACCACAGGAGGGGAGAAAATGAAACAGACAGGCCAACAGCTACTTCTAAAGTTGTGTCTCATGAGGAAACTTCACATTTGCTGACTGAAGATGTCATAACTCCTGTTTCTGTAATACTGAGTGGAACTCCTAATCTTGAAACAGAAGAATCACTTGCAACCTCAGCAACAAAAATGCCAAGCAGATTATTACCTGAAAGCTCTGGAGAGGGATCTGGCTGGGTTGGTGTTTCAGATTCATTTCCCCATGACACATTTACTCATTTGTCGATACCTCCTCTGACAAAAGTTGAACTAACTGCTTCACCTAGTGTTCCTGGAGAAGTTTATTCTGAAGTTATGACAACAGAGGCACCGACAGATGGATCACAGACTGTGATTACAGGATTAGCATCCCTTTTTACAGAAGAAGAGATTGTGGCAAATCAAACTGCTGCTGAACCGAAGACAATTACATCAGAAGAACTAACAAGTGATACTGGCATATATGAGAAAATTATTCCAATGGTTGATGATAAAAGAAATGTTATATTGAATGTTTCTGTTTATGGTGATATTACACTAATTGAAGAACGACTTGAAATCCCATCAGAAGAAACAACTATTATAGACATGGATCACTCCAAATCAATGCCAGAAGATATTATAAGTGTGCAGACAATGCCCAATCCTGCCATACAATCAACATATGGCAGTGATGATAGCATGAAAGCTGACGTGGATAAATATGATTCAACACCTAATTTTTCTGTAATCAAAGAAAATTCACTTGGAACTGGTGATAGTCATTCTTTGACTACTTCCACCCAGCTAAGTAGTGAATCAGTAACATCTGGGCAGAGACCAAAATTGGATGACAAGGATTTAGGTTCAGGGAATACTGTGAAGTTTGCAACAGAAACTCTCACCACTACTGGCCTTTATGAGATGGGAATTTTCCTTCCAACAGTACCCTCATTGGTAAGCCCTCATGTGCCTCATGAGTCTAAAGAATCTGAATTTGAGACTAAACATGTTCTGATGACAAGCACAACAGAAGACACATATGAGCTGAATACTTCAGCAAACAACCAAGTCATAGCAGATCAGAGTGAAACAATGTCTATTTCTGGGTTTTCTGGAATGGGCCAAGAAGAACTGGATGATAAGAAGCTTGAGGTTCCTTCCCTTACACCAGATTTAACTATTGAGACTGAAAAGGCTTTGACAACTGGCACGCTTGATGTAAGTATTGTCACAACACAGAGTCCTTCCCAACACACAACTGTGTCATCTAGCAGCAATGATGAAAAGCATCCTACAGTATATATACAAACAAAATCAGCATTGGCAGAGTATGAAGAAACAGATTCAGTGAGCCTTTATTCTGAACCTCAAACTAAATCCTCAGTAACTGTTCAGTTAGTTAATGGAGTGTCTGAGTATCCTGAGATGATCATTCCAAGTACATCATCGTCAAAGGGCACTGAGTCTGGTCACTCATCAGAAGGAACTTTCAAAGAGGTTAGTTCTGTTATTGCAGCAACTTATAAACCACCCACTACAGACCTTCTAGATACAACAGAGGCTTCTCTGCTAGAATTTTCTCCTAAGCCTGAATCAGAAAGTCCAACTACTGAAAGTACTCCTCACTTTAATAAACTTGTAACAGACAGGTCAGAGGAGACAGATTCTTCTGTAACTGATCTGGTTGCTGAGGAAGAAACTACTGTTTCTGGAGATTCTTCATCAATACATACCTTCCCTACTGCTTTTCTGAATTTTGGAGAAAAAGCAAGCACAGATGTTCCAAATGTTAGCACCATAAAAGTTGAATCGTCTTCAGAGAGAGCAAACAACCCTAGTCAAGAAGGTGACAGGAGTACAGAGAGGGAGATCCCATGGCTTCTTTCCACACCTGTTTCAGATTCACCTAACAGTGTAGAAGGTGGGTTATTCAAACCTGAACAGGAAGCAGTTACAATGCTAACTTTGTCTTCACAACCTTTGGATAGAAGCACAGAACCACAATCAGCTTTGCTTGGTCGAGAGGAGATCACAACAATTTCTTCTAACATTGCAACAAACAATACAGCCCCTGGAAAAAATCCTTATCCAAATAAGCAGTCAACAATAAGTTCTAAGGAGCTAAACACTCTTGAACTTGTAACTTCATCATTTTCCCTTCCGGAAGTCACTAATGGATCAGATTTCCTGATTGGCACGAGTGTGGGTTCAGTTGAAGGCACAGCAGTGCAAATACCAGGTAACTTCTACATACGATCACTGTCATATTTGTTTGTTTTGATACATGTAAATGTATGTCTTAACTCTGATAAGAGGTATGACAATCAAAGCATTGTGTGAAATACAACAAAACTCATGATCCTCAAGCTTTGAAATCGGCATGATTGTAAACCCTACTGTGACAAAATGAAGGATGGGGGGACTGAAACTCATGCTCAGTGTTTTTTTCTGAGTGTTTGCATCGTGGAGCTCTGGATCAGATTTGAGGTGACCAGCAAGTTCTAAAAGACAGGAAGGGAACACTCATTGTGGTAAAGAATTCAGCTGTAATAACTTATTTTTTCCAGTTTTCAGTGGAGACAGATATAATTATTTTATCTGATAGCTATTCTGTGTTGGCATGACAATAGTACTTACACAGCTGCTAAACAGGTAGAATTGTTTTATAACATATTACATAGCAGGAAAATATGCAGTCTGTAGGAAGACAAACATGCAATAAACATGGTTAGGTACTTAATACAGCCCTTCATTTTGGACTTGCAGTGAGGCAGTCCTAAAACAAGGACCATGTTTTATGGAGATGAGATATTCTGAAAACCTCCAAAGCAAGATCCTGTCCACTTACATGCCTGGATTCATGTAGGCAGGATTTTCTCCTAGAGGTTTTCAACTGAACCTTCTTCCTTCCCATGACTTGATGGGGTACTTGGTACTTTAAGAAGACTAGTTCTTTACTTTCCAGATTAAAATGGTAAAATAGACCTTATCTTTTGTTTCATAAAGAATAGCCAAAGTATTTTGGGAAAATGTAACCAAAAATATAAACTTTGTCTCTGGGTCAACTTAGGTTACAAGAGTCTCTTACCCATTTTGTAAGTTTTTAGAGCTAGGACTTTCTTCATGTATCCCAGAGGGACTATCTTCATGATTTTCCTCTAACTCTGAGAAGTGGATACCTAGAAATGGTTATGTAGTGAATTTTTGTTTATGTGAATGATTGCTCTTAGGGATTAAATCAATTACAAATACCCAGGTATGTAAACTCAGTTGAAATAAACATCACTGGAAGGCATCAAAGCTCTGCAAGAAAAAAGCTATTCAAATGATAACTCCCATAAAAAATGAGGATTTCACAGCAGGTAAGTTTTATCTTAATGTTTAATTCAGTTACATATGTATTCAGTACCTTTATTCGTATTCTTGAAATGTATTTTAAGGAAAGACAAGTGAGAAATGTGCATCTGTGAAAACATCCTTTCAAAGAAATAAGAATTTGTAGGCATTGCTTGACTGAATATAATGAAATGAAATGTCAGCAGACAGACAGTATTTTAAAGAGATGCATGTTCTGTGTACCCAATCATTCCACATAAACTAACCCTGTTCAAAAAAAAAAGCAGAAGCATTTTCCATTCATTTTGCTTATGTTTAACTGATTTCAGCTATAATTAATTGTCATGTCATGCAAACTAAATCCTCAGTATAATATTGTGACTGCCAAATATAATACAAATTGCTATAAAAATGTAGTAATTCTGAAAATTATTTATACTGGTTCATAGTAAATGCCATGTTATTTTAAAAGTTGGAAATAGTGATGCCTCAAAATAAGCTTTACTGTTTTACAAATCTATCTTATTTCTAATATTCTATTTTGCTATTAGAGTTTCTGTAACAACAGTAAACACTGAAACATCAATGCAGAAATGAAGACAGATTTCTTTTTCCAAAAATTTAAAAAGATATCAGCTCATTGAGGCTACAGAGTAAACTTTCTTTTTCTACTTAACAGGACAAGATCCATGCAAAAGCAATCCCTGCCTTAATAGTGGTACCTGCTACCCACGTGGTTCATTTTACATCTGTACATGTTTGCCAGGTTTCAATGGCGAGCAGTGTGAATTAGGTAAGGTGATGCCATCTAAATACTGGGTTATCTACAGATTAATTGGAAGTATAAAATTTCCATACACAAGATTTGCAAATTTTTATTTTTTTTTTTGAGGTTGAAGAAGACAAACATTTTAATAAATTCTACAGTAAGGCCTTACTTATAGACTGAAGAATGTCTATTAACCATTTTTCTTTCTGCCCATAAACTGCACAAACAGGTGCACATACAAATATAAGAGAAGTATTTAAATGAACTGCGTGTCCTAGACAAGTTAACACTAAATTCATAAACATATCAAATAAGAATACATCTACATTATTATTTGGGATAATTCCCTAAAATCTTTCTGTAATTATTTGTAAGGGTATAGCCTAGTCCCAAACATAGCAAGGAAGCTGAACACTGAATGCCTGCTGATATTTTTTCAAGAAAATTGCAAATATGACCATAGTCAGATACATCTTCAGTACAAATTAGTATTTTGGTAACTCTTCCAGCTGAGGACCTCCTCATGCTGCCTAAGACATTTGGCATTCCCTGCTATGAGTGTTGGTTTCAAGAGACTGACCAGTACAGTTCAGGGTGACCAGCTTTTCTTTCCAAACAAACAAGTCAATGTATGATGAAACTGGCTATTTGGCTGTTTTGTGTAAAACTGTTTTAGTCTTTTTTTTTTTCTTTTTTTTTTTTAATTTTCAGTTTAATTCCCTGATCAATATTAGGGGGTTGCCTATTACACAGTCACTTGCTGAATTTGAAAGAAAAAAATAGATGCAGTATTGCTTAAATGAGTTCCACTCATCAGTGCATCTAGGGAGGAAAAATTCAATCCACCCAAAGGTTGATATTAGTATAGGATAATCGTCGGGACTACTGTGGTTTTATTTGTCTTCTACAAGAAAGGATTATTATAGTTAAAAAAAATAATTAGCTAGTGTTTTTCTCTGCTTACCTAGGGCTTATTGATAAATCCAGTATTTCTCTAGTGGGTTGTTAGAGATAGATGTCACATTTTAAATGCTTCATCTTAGATCTTCTTTGTCAAGAAATGTGGCATCCACTATTTACAACCCAGAGATCAGAGAGAATAATTTTCTTTCTTCCTTTAGATCATAAAAGAATAATATGGCAACTTCTTACCCTGTAGAAGTTTTACCATTTTATTAGTAATTTGGAATGGGACTCTCCACTGCCAGTTGCCATTTAAAAATATGTTTGGTGGTGCTTGAGAAAGTAAACCTCAGCATTTCTACACATGTATTTCAGAATATTCTACATATGAAATACAAAAAGTCAATGAGAGCTATCCAAATTATTACAACAAATAAAATACATAATGCAGTGATCATTCCTAGGATTTCACAACTATTGGTTTGTAGATACATATTTAATTCTTCTTTTAAGTTTTTGATAGCCAATGACTAACAACAGCTTGGCTTTGACTAAGGTGTTTGCGAAATCTTCATTAGAAACACAGTTTGTTCTTATAAAAGGACATACTTGTTTATAGCCTGTGCAAATACATCCACGTAGTATTTATAGTAAATGGACTGGTCATCCAATTGAAAACAAGAAGCCAGATGAGTAGGGGAGAGAAAAGTCATTTGTTTAATATGGAGCCATTGACTCAGGAGTAACCTGTGCATGGCTGTGAATGTTGCTATCTGACTGCACATTCAGTGAGATTATCTTTATGATGGTTTATCCTTGTTTTGCTAAGATTAGATAAGGAAGAAATGAGACAAAGAAGAAATTACAAAATAATAAGGATCTAGGACACCCAGCTTTGAAGTCTGAAACTAACAGTCTTTCTGATGATATGAAATTTCTAACATATGAAATATTTGAAGATATTTGAGTCTCCAGTATTTGATGAAATTTTTTCATGCCATGATCACACATTCAAGTCAAATTCTCTACTGATAAGATAAAATATTGCATACTGCACAGCATGACTTCTTTCTCAGTTGCACAATGTGGGGCTGAAGATCTGGATTTTAGAAATTAACTCAGGAGTCAGAGTGCAGGATATAAAATTGTGGATCATTAAAGTCACATATCCTGAGGAGAACACGGCTTGATTTTGGGTGAAGAGAAAGGAAAGTTGTGCAGAGTGAAATTAACTATCATACAAATAAAACTGCTGTCTTGGATCTTTTGCAATACTTCGTTCTTCTGGATTGAACTGGTCCTAGTAATGATTATGAGCAAGGCTGAAGAACATTTCCTTTCTGGGAGGTGGGTGGATTATAAAAACACTTTTATCTTTATGTTGTAGATATTGATGAATGCCAGTCTAACCCATGCCGCAATGGAGCCACGTGTATAGATGGCCTCAACACCTTTACTTGCCTCTGTCTGCCAAGCTATATAGGTGCTCTTTGTGAGCAAGGTAAGGTGTACTTTAAAATCTAGGGTGACCTAGGTCACGTGTAGTCATTAAAATACCATTAACTCTTTCAGGTCTAACTCGAGTAAAAGAACCTGAATTCATGCTTATGTACATTTATTTTGTTAGACCATGAGGTTTATCTTTTCTTCCTTTCCCCTCTTGTTCTTTTGCATTGTTACATCACAGTTACTCTTCATTATGAGCAGCAGGGTGTACCTGTTTTGTTTTGTCTTTTTGCGTTTTTGTTTACTTGTTTGTTTTTCCAATCAGTGAAGGAACCTAAAAACTTCGTTTTGAGAGATGAATCATACCACCATCCAGCTAAGACTCTTCCAACTTTATATACCTATCTGCTTTCATTTCAGTTCTCTTCTGGAGTAGCTAAGCAAAGCCTCCTCTAGAAGAGGGGGGATTGAAGAAACTCTTAAAAACTGGCAAGTAGCTAGTGATGAGAAGACATTACAATTTTTAGTCTCAATAACATTTGAGTATGGTAGACTTCAATGATTTGTGGCTCAGGAGTTTTTGTTTAAGGTTGCATCTGCACCATCTTTGCAGTTGAATGAGAGCAAACACTAGCCACATGCTAAACTGACCAAAACTCATACTATTGCCATACTGAATATTAACAGATATATCAGGCAGTCTCTGTGTCAGAGTAACTACAGCCATACAGCTTTCAGGTGGCTCCAAGGCAAACAAAGCCTGTTCATATTGCCTTGCAGACTACTACGAAGACACATAACCAGGTCCTTTCATCACTAGTGATGCTTATGGGATAATGAGTGGAAAGAGTTACTGTTGGACTGAGCATCTCTCTTTAAAAAATCTATACAGTGTGAAAGACACATCAGAACACATCTCTTCCAACAGGTGTCACTGGAAAGTAGGAATAGTCTACTGAATATGCCAGATTATATGTCCTTTCACAGGGCACCATAACCTTGACATCATCATCCCACATTTTTCTAGGTTGCTTTGCTCTGTTTTAGGGCAAATAGGTGCAGGATCACAATTACAGGGATGTTTTAAAAGATCTTCTAAACCAGGCAATTGAAACTAGATTAAACATCCAGGTTCCTGTAACTGTTATTTGCATGTCTGCAAGAAATCCTGCTGTATTTAATAGAAATATTTACTCTGCAAGATGATTACTTAATATGTGCTTGTAGGAGGGGGGAAAGGGTAGCAAAATCTGTTCTGTCACTAAAATTAATGAAGGCGTTTCCATGGAAAAAAAAAAAAAGAAAAGGTACTTTAAAGCATACTTTCTAAAGCTTATAAAAATATCCTTCTTTCTCTTTTTCTTCAGCTGAGTGGTTTCATTTACAGGTGAATGAAGTGGACCTTTGGATTTGTTTAATGAATACTGCCTATTTTCAGGTTTGTTTTTCACCTTTAATGAGTGGAAGGCAGTTTGAAAACTCTTCCAGCTCAACCTATAGAGGTTTGTTTGTTAGAGTAGAACCATCTCAAAGCTGACTGGCTCCAGCATTTTTCACTGTTTAATTTTTTCAGTAGTTTGCCTAACCTTGTGATTTGAAAGGAGTTTCTGAATCTGCTCTCCAAAACTACAAGTTGACAGTGTTTTCACAACAAAAGAAATAAATGTTCTCACTCCCCTCCTCCTCCCTGTCATTTCAGCAAATCCATAGCAGTGAGTGGCTCTGAGTACTGTGGTAGCTTTAAGCTGCTTTTTATGACCAACCTGAGAGTGCATTTTAGGTGGTTAATGGGAACATTTCCTAGTTTGTCAATCAGAACCAGAGCCCTGTTCACTCAGCTTTGGAATTTAAATTTCCTCCACTTAAAGTCCTGCAGTGGTTTGGGACTTGGGAAAAGTGTTAGTGCCAAATTTCCACTCCACCAGACAAAATAAAATTGTGTTGGCAATTCAGACACAGTTGTCTTGCAAGCAGGCTTTATTTCAAGGCACCAGTCCTGACCTCACTAGATTTAAAGACCAGCCAGAACGACAGAATGTGTACCTCAGTGCCACAGGAAAGGTGGAGTTGAGCACACCAAGATTATATTTCATTACTTTCTCTCTCTTTTTTTTTTTTTTCCCCTCCAGTATATACTATTTATTTTAGAGAGCCTCAGGAAAAAAAAAAAAAAAAAAAAAAAAAGTTGAAGGGCTTTTTTAGACATGTTGCTGAGTTTTCAAAATATTGTGGAAGTGAATGGAAGCAGTGAATGCATGTTGCCTCTGAAAATGAAACTCAGAATATAGCAGGCAATTTCACTACACTCCAGTCTCAAGACACTGGTGTGGAAAAAAAAAAAAAAAAAGTAGAGTTCAGAATTTTACCAAAATGTCCCCTTGAGACTTTTATAGAATAAGAGATCTTTGGCTGACATCTAGCATAGTATTAGAGTTAGGAGGAGATGTGACATGGGGACAGTGTGGCTGCATGTCAGGAAGCTCCGACAGGTGGTGGGAGTCGAGAAGCCTTCAGGGTGATCTAACCTAGGGTGAAGTAAATCAATTCTGAGAATCACTGAGCTGTAATTGGCTCCCTGACAGACATTTTTCTTGCCAGGTGGAAGCAGTTCAGCAGACAATCTGAGCCCGGGAACTTCTTCCTAAAGAGAGCTAAAGTTGTCTAATGTTAGAAATAGAGCAACCGAGGGTGTTTCCTTTCTAAACTAGACTGGTAGGTGAGCAAGCCAGCATTGCTTCTGATTCAGACTAGATCAAAGGGGAGCAGAGGACCTCTGTTAGAAAATACCCTCTTTTGCACATCACGTGTATCTTTTCAAAGCACAGATGTTTGCCACTTAGTGACATTTGCATGTCACTTCTTATATGCTGAAATACCCAGAAAAGGTTTTTGGAAAGGTGACTGCAGGCCTTGGTATGAGTCTTATCCCAGGAGATCCAGTGGTCATTTCATTGGCATGCCTCTGTGGAAAGCCCTTTGGAGAGCTTTCAGCATCCCATTGAGTGAGGTCAGAGCTGGGTAGATGAGCACCTCTTTCTGTCTTCATTTTCCTTCCATGGCTGGTGGGAGTTCCCTTTTCTTTCCCCCCACCTCCATCCCCACTCCCCCCCTGGTCCCCTCCCCTTGCTATTCTAACAGTTGTCTACCTGCTTTCAAGGAGTGGTGTTTGCCTTTTAAACTCAAAGTCTAGCTTTCTCCACTGCAGGATCCCTACAGACACACCTCACCAAGCCAGCTTACCAAATGCAGCTGCATGCCTGGGCCTGTGTGCTAAGCTGGTACATGTTTGTTAATAGACATGCCTCCTTGGCATAACATAGACAGCTGCTCTGTCTTCCAGGTTCTGAAAACAAAACTTTTTTTTTTCTTTTTGTCATGCAAAACCTATTTTATTTTATTTTATTTTATTTTATTTTATTTTATTTTATTTTATTTTATTTTATTTTATTTTATTTTATTTTATTTTATTTTATTTTATTTTATTTTATTTTATTTTATTTTATTTTTTATTTTATTTTATTATTTCCCAAGTTCTTTGTTTAAATGCTTGTGATGGCTTCTATCTCATTTGATTCACTTTGTTCCCACAGCTTGATAGCTTGGAATGGAAGTGTTTGAGAAGGGCTAAGTGCAAGGATGCTTTCTGAAAACAGATGGTCGCTAGCTGATGTCTTTCAGCTGAGGAAGGACTGTTTTGAATATTTACCAGAGAATTGGTTCCTCCTCAAGATGTGTGGGCTAATGGGCCTCAGGCATTTGTTCATTACCTGAAGACAGACAGTCACGGATAAAATCTGCAGCTGAGCAGGACTCTCCTTATGTTCTAGCACCTCTTTTTCTGTCTTTGTTTGCTTTAAGCCTCTTATGGAATTTATTTAAAGACAAGGGACCTACTGTCAGCAGCATATTGCAGCTGTTGAAAAAGCAATACCTGCCTATGCATTAAATCTAAAGCGAATTATTTTTCTTCTTTTTTTTGAATGCAGTCTAGAGTTGTTACACATACACAATTGCAGTTACAAAGAACAGAAGTTGTGTAAGTTAACTCCTTGCACGCATCACTGAATAAGCCTGTAAGTTGTAATAAATCTTAAAACTTAGTCAGACAATATAAATATGGCACGTAGTGTTTTCAGTCTTTCTGTCACATTCTGGAATAAGGTTACAGAAAGCTGTGACTACCTCCCAGGATAAGTCTACAGTGAACATGGAGTATTGTATTCCCTAGGTCCTCACACCTACTCTGTTCTCACAGGTGATTCAGTCAGAAAGTTTACAGTCACCTGCAATTAGATTTTACTGGTTCAAGAAAGGCATTAAAAGGCATTAAAAACCTATATCCATATGGAGCACTTACCTTTACCTTTGTGTCTCTCTTTCATTTGTATTAATGCACTAAGATATGTATGCATTAATACATGTGTGTGTCTGTATATATGTATATATATGTGTGTGTATAAAAGTATATTCATGTATACATGTCCTTGCGCAAACACAAAGTCAGGGCAAATCAGCATTTCTTTCAGTTCTCTGCAACAGAGTTGAATCAGTCCCCACATTTTTATTTGCCTGGTTCACATTTGTTGTCCTCTGGCCTCATGATTCTCCCTTTCTTCCTTTTCCACTCTTCCTTTGACTCTTTCCTTTCAAAAAAATAAATTCTCCCTTCCTCTTCTAAAAATTCTATTTATTTTACAGACTTCAGCCCTGTCTTCTTCTCTTTGGTAGTTTTGGTCTACAAACAAGTGTTGAAGAAGTTATTTAATATTTTCCTCTTGAAAAAAAAAAAAAAAAAGAAAAAAAGTCCATGTTTTTTTGGATAAGAGGGAAGAGTTGTATGTGCACCATGGGTGCGTGCATATCAACTGTGAGTACATATGTTGCAGTTTGGCATCCTCTGCCTTATGAGGAAGAATTCTGGTGCTGACAGTTCATACTCGGGCCATTACATCTCATTCTTTGAACCCAGTCATTGGGCTTTGCTATTTTCAAGCTGCTTTGCTTCCCATTCAGCCCTTCATCAGACCTTCTTTCAAGTCCTGGAGCCCCTCCCTGCAGAGGCAGGCAAAGCTAACTTAGCATAGCCTGGATCTGCTCTCCAGCTATGATGTTCTCATCATGCAATACTGCTTGTTATATCTGACTTCTTTCCTGTGGGACAAGGTGGTCCCTGAACAAGATGAATAATAAAAACTTAAGTGCCTTTGCAGAGGACACATCACTGTTAGTCAGCATTGTGTGGTTAAACAAATGTTCAAGGGAGCCAAAGGCAGACTAAACTTTAAAATGGCCTAGGTCCCAGAGATTAAAGCTGTATCAGCAGCCTGCACCTCGTACAGAATGCAAAGAGGGAAAACATCAAAAACTAACAAGCTGCTAGTATAAATTAAAGTCATTTTTTCATAGCTGGGATTACTCAAAGCACAAGCAGTTTTCTGGAGCTTAACTTGTTGAAAATACAAGAGAGATGACCAGTGTAAACTCATTATGCCATCATATTCAGTACATTTATGTCTGTACTGACAACTTTTAAAAATGGATTTTGATACCAGACTCCTAAGACAATAACTGCTGTGTTATTAACGTTGCCAGGAGCTGACAGAGAAATTCTGGTAAGCCTCTGAAGTGATATGTTTGCACATATCTATTCATATATATGTGAAGTCTATTTTTTTATCTCAGGAGATTTAAAAAAGCAACCAGACTTCCAAAAAAATTGACACTTCCGTGCTTCAGGATATGTGAATGGCATCTCTCTGCTCTGAATTAAGAATCAGCCTTGTGTTGTGAATTATTTATTTTCCAGAACTGCCTCTCAGCTGGTAGCTGCTCTGACCTGAAAAATATCATAGTTAAGGAATTTGCAGTCGTATGTCATTGGCATATTCTATGTTTGGCATTTCCCTTTACTAACGTAAAGAGAGCCTCTTAGGCCAGAACATCTTATTAACTATTAGATATATTTATTTATTGAAAATACATGATCTAATTCACACCCAGAAAGTACATATACTTCTGGAAAGGCAAGATGGTTCCTTTGAGACAAAGTTTTGTTTTGGCATTGACACAAAATCTTGTGGGAAGTGGCAAATTCTTGTTTGTAGGGAAAAAAAGAAAAAAAGAAAAAAAAAAAAAGCCAAGCTTTTGTTTCTGTTCTTCAGCACCCTGCAACAGAGGCCCATCAGGGTCTCAGCATGTGCTGAGATTGCTGGAACCAGTTGTAGTCAGAACATGCCACAACCTTGTGCTGAAGTGTCCTTTATGGTGCCATTTCGTACACAGTAAATCAAAACATTCTGAGTTTTCTGTAGTTTTTGTTTGTTTGTTTGTTTGTTTTTCCCATTCCTCCCCCAAACTCTCATTTCTTAATGACAGGTTCTTGTCATTGAGCACAGCTCAGGCACACTCAGGCATCATATTCGTTATTGTTCATCTTACTAACACTGATTTTTGCCTATGATTCATTCCTACAGTGCTGGTGCAGAAAGAGACTTGGGATGAGAACCTTGCTTCTTGCCATCTATTCTGTTTGCAGCTGCCTAACCTTGACGAAATAATTAACGTCAAATCCACAGATTGTTACTCTTCCAAGGCTCACGTTTATATCTCTTTAGTTGAAAAGAAATACTGGCTGATATGAACTTCTGTCTATTATGTATTCTTATCAGCACAATCCCTTGTACAAGCACAGACAATGTGCATTTCATTACATTGTATTTCAGCTTTGTAGCCTTCTTTAGAAACTGATGCCTAGAGTTTATTAAATTATAGTTTATCATGGAAGATGGGTTTTGGAGGAGGATTTGGAGGGGTAAATTCAGAAGAATAATACTGCAGCTTTGTGTCTGGACTGAACAATAACAAGCACGTTCCTATATGATTATTTTCCGTTATCAGTTTCTTTCAAACCAAGGTAATTCAGTGCAGTCATTCAAAGAACTACTCCCCCTTATAAATGAAAAATTTAATCCCCGCTTAACAGACTCAGAAAATTTAGATGAAATGTAGACTAATGACAGTCTAACATAAAGTCATTTCATTCACCCTGAGTGATGGAGTAAAAATATCCCTATGAGATTGTCTGGGTACAGCATAACTTGAAAAGTAGAAGATCAGAAAGCTGCCGAGTACAGTTATACTGGTTACGTAAATAATATACTTGCGGTTTACACCAAAACTGGGTAAAGAGAAAAACATGAAAATTTAATTAGAACTCAAGATACTTAATGAGTTTTGGGCATCTTCTTCAATCTTTTGCTCAACAGAGTCCATGCATGTGAAACATGTCCATGTTCCATGCCCATTATCAGAAACACGGTTTGTTTATTTGTCACAGACACGGAGACCTGTGATTACGGCTGGCACAAGTTCCAAGGACAGTGCTACAAATACTTTGCCCACCGGCGCACATGGGACACAGCTGAAAGGGAATGCCGTCTGCAGGGAGCCCACCTGACAAGCATCTTGTCCCACGAGGAGCAGATCTTTGTGAACCGTATGTACTGTTGTCATCTCTCTAAGCAAGCACTGGCACTGAGGATTCAGAGAGAGGATCATATTGGCTGTTCCCTAAACTTTTACATCTCCGTGTTAAAATATGCTTTTAGAATGTAGAGATGCAAAGATGCACTTTGTTTTCTTGGTTGTCACTTTGTCTTTAAGTGCAAGATCCTTAATCTCTATTAAGCTATGACTTATTACATAGAAAATGTTTCATTTTGGGGGAAAGTGAACTAGTCCTATGGTTTTGGTATAGAAAATTAATGAAACATTTTTTTCTGGTAGCTTTAGATCTTTTCTTCACATGGCAAAAATGGCCAGGCCACCATGTTAGTAGGCATGTATAAAAGAATAGCTCCTATGAGTTAATGCTGCAAAATCTTGACCTCAGTCACAGCCTAGACAAAACTTGAAAAATACTGTAAATTAAAATATTTGCCCCTTCCTTCCTTCCTTCCTTCCTTCCTTCCTTCCTTCCTTCCTTCCTTCCTTCCTTCCTTCCTTCCTTCCTTCCTTCCTTCCTTCCTTCCTTCCTTCCTTCCTTCCTTCCTTCCTTCCTTCCTTCCTTCCTTCCTCTGTCTCTCTCTCTCTCTCTCTCTCTTTCTCTCTTTCTCTCTTTCTCTCTCTCTCTCTCTTTCTTTTCTTTTTTTTTTTTCTTTCTTTTCTTTTTTTTCTTCTGATGTGTACCCAGATAGGAAACTCATCTGTTTTCTTTGGGGGGGATGCAGTCAGTAATAGGCATGATTGTTTAAAACAGTTAGATAAGAATCTCCATTTTTATAGACATCCAAATTAATATAAAAATGCTGAAAACCAGCCTGTAAATAGTTGTTTGCACAGGGAGTAGAAGAATCTTAAGAACAGGATGTCTGATTCATTCTGTGCAAATTCTTTTTCTTTTCTTTGATGAAATCTCTCCCATTTATGGGAAAGTTAATAAAAATATCCTTCTGTTTCCTTTCCCATTAGGTATTGGGCATGACTACCAGTGGATTGGCCTCAATGACAAAATGTTTGAGCGTGACTTCCGCTGGACTGATGGTAGCCCACTGGTAAGATGCCTCTGAAATTAAATCATCCACTCCTTTCTTTTTGCTCTGTCTTATCAATTTCCCATCAGAACTGAGGGAAGCTGCATGATAACATGCAGTCACTAAATATGCATCCAAGCAAACAGCCAGGATACTGTCTTGTTTCAGGATAATTTCTATTTGTGATGTAGTTCTAAAATCTTAATTTTAGTTCTTATTATTTTATATGTGGGACCTCCTAGTGTTTCCAAAGAGAAAAGCTCAGAAAGTCTGCAGCACTGACCCCTATTACTTAGGGGTCAGTGCTGCAGATGGTTTTGTTTTTCATCTCTAAGATGATTCCTTACATATATAGAGCAGAATGCATTTTTTCAGATGAAGATATGGCATATGAGCCCTTGTCTTTTTGAGTGCATGAAGAAGCCTTTCAGGTCTTTTGGGGAGCTGTTTTAGTTGGTGTGGCAGTCTGATGGCTAGGATGTTGAAGCAGTCATTCTTAGGTAGTTCAGGAGGCCTGCAACCAATAATCTGTCCATAAAGTTTTAAGTTGCTGTTGATACCTCCTGATGCCTTAAAACACGAAGGAAGGAAAGTCAGCAGAAGGAGAGGGAAAACACTCCCTGTCCACCTTTAGCAGACCTAAATCAAATAGTTGCTTGATACAGTCTCTCCAATTCAAAACAGACACTTCTGTAGAAGGGACAGGTGATTTATTGCTGTTTAACACCCACTGAATAGCACTATATATATAAAAAAACAGTTATGATTATTATTTCCCCCCACCCCCAACTGTGAATTCTTCTTAAAGGAGAAAGCATCTGGACTACAGGACACAGATGTGCACATGCTCACACATGCACACAGTGATCATTGCTGCATACTATGTGACTACAGCTTAGGTAGAGAGACACCTGGATCAAAGCAAGCTTTACTTATTACATTTTTATTTAAATAGCCACAATGTCCTTTAAAATAACTTATAAATGAGCCATTTCTTGGGAAACATGTGTAGGAGGTGACAGAATGGGGAGAAAAGGAAGGAAGATGAAAATGTTTGTTGCCCAGTGGACTGCTTGGTTATTCTTTGGTGAAAACGACTTAATTCATGTTTGTACCCATTTGTGCTTGGAGCCACATAGTCTTGCAGGATGTAAGTGAAGGAATTTCTTTTCATCACTTTCTCTTGCCTCTCGTGTATTTTTGAGAACACAAGATGGGGCATGGCCTTGAGCTTCACTCATTCTGGATTATTTCATTCTCTGTTTCTTATGTGGCATCTTGCACCTCACTGTCTGAAACAGGCACTCTCTGAGGATAGTTTAACTTTGATGACACTATCCTCTAGTGGTGGTGATTCATTACACCTCAGGTAATAAACAGAAATAATGAAAATATCAACTGTAAGCATAAAATTTAGTTCCTTGATGGTGTCCTTAAGTTCCAATGAATTTGAATACCATGTAGTTGAAAAATGTACATCATTTATGCATTTGCAGATGAAAAGCAGTTGTGATAGTGTTAAATGAATCAATATAATTTACAATAATGAAAATAAGCATTATTTCATACATCCTCAGGTTCTAAAATAAATTTATGAGTAGAGAGACAACTGTTGCACATACCAAAATCTAAACAGCCTTCTGGTGTTCTACATATCAGGGTGCATCAGCTTTTTTTGTCCTTGTTGCCCAGCTCCTCTCCAAGAGATTATTGTCTGTCTAGAATTCTATTCAACAATTCTGGTGTAGTAGAAAATTCTTCAAGTCTGCTGGGGATCCCCCTGATAAGTTGGAGACACTATCAATATCAGAAAAGCCACACCAACTTTCAGGTGGACAGTGCATATAGAAGTAATATATATTCATTCATCTTTATCTTGATAGTTTTCTGACAACAGCTTGGTTTAAGCTGAAAATCATACTTACAATATTTCATAAGTTTTTGGTTTAAAAAGGGTTGTGATGCTCAGTAGATTTAAAAGAAAAAACCAAATGAATAGCAGCAGCAGCAAGACACATCATGGATGAAATTATTGTCCCAGTGCTACAGCTAACCTAGTACTGCGCAGATTAATAGCTGTGATAACCAGTGTTTACACATAAGAGTTGCAACTTCTCTTTCACAAGAGTTTTTTTGTTTGTTTGTTTGTTTGTTTTCCTGAACCAAAAAAATAAAAGGAGACACAAACCTAGAACTGGAATCAGAAATCCCTGAACCACAGGCTTTACCTTTGGACAATATGGGATAAGGTCTGGATTACTCTGGTACACATTTTCCATGGACATAAGAAGACCACAACTCAAATAGTCAGTATGTTGAAAAGAACTCTTTTGCTAGGTGTTGGCATGTCTTTTATTAGCAATTTCTGGAAAAAGGATCAGTTGACTTTTTTTCTTTATTGTTATTATTTTACTTGCACCTAAAAGGTATTTCAACCAATGAGTCTGATGGAAGAAAATCAGTCCTCTTTTTGGCATTTTCAGCTCAAAACCAAGCCAAGTGTTTTTCCAGAATTTTTAAACTGACACTAAATGCCAGCCACCATTAAATATGATAGTCAAACAAAAGCACCTGCATAAGTTCCTTAGTGAAAAAGAACAAACATACATTCAAGTGCACTGTACATTGTTTCCAGTTACAGTGTGCTCTTGAATACACATGTCCAGCTCAGCTATTTTTTGTGGGCTTCATGGTCATATGCAGCAATGACATAAATCTTGTGCTGCCTCACTTCCATATGCTCCCAAAATACAGTTTTGTTTTGTTTTACCGTGTTTTTGTTTTTGTTTTTTTCTTTTTCTTTTTTTCTTTTTTTTTTTTTTTTTCCTGCAGAGCCTTCTTGTCTGTTAATGTGAGATGAGTGTTAAAAAGCTGCAGTGGTGGGGCTAGAGAATGTGATGAATTCATCTTTGTCATTGTTCTGGTAATGTGAGAAGGGTTAGAATCTCAGATGCAGTTGTGGAAATTTCCCCTCCCTGACCAACCAATGGATATCAGTTTTGCCAATCAAATATGCAAGGGCCTTTAGGTTTTCTGTGAGATCAGATCATGCCACTTCAGTGGGACAGGAGATTTGTTAAGTTTGTGTAGGGAGAATATGACCAAGACTTTTAAAAAGTGAGCATATAAAATTAGGGTTCTAACTGGGAAGCCTAAACTGTACCTAGATTACCCTGGGCAGATTCACACTTATATTGAAAAAAGGGGCAATTATTTAGGTGCCTAATAGTGGACTGCCTATTGTCAATCAGTTTTGGTATCTTGACATTCTTGGTGATCCCCCATAGAAAACAGTGACTGTCAAAAAAATCAGAAGTCAAAAGAGCCCATTTCTCCTTGTGTTTATTTTTCATATGCCAACCGGAATTTATGTGACTTGCAAAAATAAAGCCAATAACCAACTTTTGGAAGAAATGGTCTAATTCTCAGAGTTACCCAAATAAAATGTTTGTTTCTTGAATAACAAAACAGGTACAATCAAATTCAGTGAGAAAAGAAGTAACAGTGTTCAAAACACTTTTTCGTTTTTTTTATTTTTTGATCCACATGACATTTTTCCATGCCTGTATTGTAGATTGATTACGTTTGAATATATGTTCAACATTAAATGCTGAAAACTTCAAAATGTTTTCTTTAACACAAACTCTTAGGACAAGGAAAATTTATCTTTAAGTAGAAACATGTACAGTCTTAATTTGTATTATTGTGAGATTCTGTTCCTGCAAACAGTATGTAAGGAGACCTTTAGATCTACCCCACTGAACTGTGTGATGAATAGTTATCTGCGTGCTTTTAGGGGATTTTGACAAGTTTTAGGTCTTAGTAGTACAGTAGTTCTCAAGGTAAACCTTCTCAGCAGTTTCCTGCTTTTCAGGCAAAATGTCATAACCTTGTGCAGCATATTGGGCAGTCTAGATAGTTTCAGCACTTCCCGCTAAGCATTACCTTTTCATCATGCTGTACTCCCTGTATTCCAAAAATGTATTGATCTTGAAAACTGCAAAATAACATGATTAAAGTAGTTAGGTCATACCTTTGGTGCCCTAAAGTTCAGCTGGCAGTCCAGGTACTACTTTCACATAAACAGATTGCTTTCCATGAAACTGGTATTTTATTATATAGATTTTTATTGGCCAGACATTATATTTGTCCTCCCCCCCCCCCCTTTTTTTGTTGTTTGTTTTTCGTTTTTTGTTTTTTTTTTTTTTATTGCAAATTCCCCTTAAAGACAAAATGGGAGCTTCTTGGATATGGTCAGGGCAAAAGCTCTGGAGCTCATTGGCTAAGCTTAGGGCACCTAGTCCAATATGTAAACCAAAATGAGATGTAATTTCACTAACACTGGAAAGTATTGCTGGCCACCTGCACGAATCCAATTTATTCTGATTTGTTGTACTGTAGCTGTATGGCAAGAAGCAATTTTTTTTTCTCATCTACAACGTGTTCTTGCTTCTTTTCTTTTGGAAAAGAAAGAGCTTTCCGGAATTTCCGGTGGTTGGGAGAGTTGGATTTGCCTTCTGGAGCTGATGGGCCACATGAAAAACACTTAGGCAGTGTTTCCAGTGTTCCCATTGCCTATCAAGGGAAAAGAGCTGATTGCAGCTGTGTGAGTGCAACACAAAAAGAAAATGTTCTATCAAGAAACTGAGACCCAGGCTTGTGGAGCAAGTTCACCTCTCACTGTGGTGAGAGCTGTAAGTTATTGGGCACTGCCACATGCCTGGACCTGTAGCATCAGCCACACACAAGATCATGTGGGCCAGAGGCAGGGGATTTGTAGCCTGCAAATTTTGGCTCATCCACCTAGACCCTAATTTCCAGAAGGTTAATCTCAAAAACAAAGGCACTGAAGTGAGCTCAGAGTGCTCACAGAACCCCAGCATTCCTAGAGCTTCATTATTCATTGTGTCCTCAAAATCAGGCAAATTTCTGCTCAGCACGTTTGAGGTATATGCATTTCACTGCACTGACAGACAGAAGAGGCAGAAGGAAATAATATAACATTTTTAAAAGCATTTTTT